TTCACGTTCTGGATGTAAATCACTTATATCGTCTGGGAACACCTCTAGAAATTCACATACAACGGGTAATTCAACACTCGCAACCTTACGGTTAACTTGCAATGACGCAAACATTGCAAACATCAAAGCTTCATCTTCCAGGAGTTCGTTCACTTGTTAGCAGATAAAAACATTAGTTCTCCATTATCACCAGACTTAGGGAACATCAAAGTCTTATTATAATAATTGATGTGAACATAGTTGAACTCCAACCAATTCATACCAGGTATAACATCAATTTGGTGTAAGGGTAGACACATCAAATCCATCACAAAACTCTTACCATAAATGGTCAAGGACATCTTGAACAAATAAAAGTAGTAGTAACAGAACCACTAGAAGGAGTATATATTACCATACTACCATTCATATCAGACAACTTCAATCCCAACATATTAGCACATTCACATGAAATAAACGAATGAGTAGCACCAGTATCAATAATAACAACCAATTCAACATTGTTAATAAAACAAGTACCTTGAATAAAGTTGTCCTTCTTGGAATCCTATGATCCACTCAGAGAAAACACTCTATCGTTGGTCTGGGTAATAGCAACATTATTCTTTGGGTAGTGATATAACCTTGCTCTCCATAGTTAAAACAAGTTAGACCGTCGTTCTTGAACTCAGGAGCACGATGACTCATCTTACCATATTTGTAATACCTCATAACCTTATTCTCATATTCATTAAAACAGTGACCTTGTTCCCCACATATATAACACTTGACAGGAGCGGGAGCTCATCCCCCACTTATCTTTTTCCCATTGGAAACCTTCTGTTTCTCTTTATTAGCTAGAGAATCATAAGGCTTCCTATGGTCTTAATGTTGCTTTCCTCTCTTCTCTTTCAGACTCTTATAGTGAGCCGAATGAGCTTTTATATCTTCTTCATAGATCCTACAGTTGTTCATCAACTCTGGAAACCTATAGATCTACTGATATCTAATTGCCCACTTGATTTTCAGACGCAAACCATTCTCAAACTTGATACATTTTGAGAATTCAGCAGTCTCTTCAGTATAATATGGATAATACTTATTCAGTTCCACAAACCTCGAAGCATAATCAGTCACAGTTAAATTTCCTTATTTCAATTCTAGGAACTCAATCTCTTTCTTCCCGCACACATCCTCAGGAAAGTACTTCCTCAAAAACTCCTTGTTGAACATAACCTAAGTGACGACTTCACCCACTGCTGCCAGTCTCTGACGGGTGGCGACCCACCAGTCATTGGCTTCCTCTTCCATCATATGCATATCAAACCGCATATTCTCTGCCTCTGAGCATTCCATTACCCGAAAGATCCTTTCAATCTCCTTGAGCCAAGCCTGTGCTCCATCAGGATCGTACCTACCCTTGAAAGTAGGTGGTTGGTTCCTCTAAAACGTCTCCAAGATACGTGATCCATCATTATCGCCAGCATTAGGCTGATGTTGCACAATCACAACATCGTTCCTTCCAGCTAATCTACACCACAAGAAACTAATGTCAGAAAACAATGTATCGGTAGTGTACTTACACTAATCGACCGAGAGGACATGCACATCATAAGAAAATTTGGTTGCACATAACGACCTGCTCTGATACCACTAATGTAACACCCTTTTAAGACCAACAGATAATTCGTGAATAATTGTAATATTAATCAAACATAAATCACCAACAGGGTGTCACATCTTCATAAAAATATCATATAAAACATCTTGCTCCGCATCACAGGTTTTCAAAACATTTTAAATAATTATTTCTTTAATAATATCAACAAACATATTTAAATCTCGCAACAGAATCATAGTCTCAAATATAACGTCATTTAGTTCATCAACATCAAAACCCTTCCGGTCAATATCAAAAGTCATCCTTAAATACATCCATCATAGTAAAACTCATAAAATAGATTTATCAAAATAATTGAAACTTCAACTCAAGCATTTCTCCATCCGATGTTACAATATCAGAGCAAGACCACTATCATTAACAGAAATAAATGAATAACTCTGAGATATCCTCAAACTCCTATGAGCTATTCTTGATTACCTACAAGTTACCCACGTATAAAGGCAATATTTCCAAGCAGAAAGGATGAGTAATCACAAATTATTATAAAATATATATGGAATAGATATAGTAGTACAACAACAAATCATCATGGATTATACATATCATCATACTTCATATATTATACTCACACTTTCGCATCATCAATACACATAAACTATATAATTATATCATCACATTAACATCTATCATCAAACACCACTGAAATCACAACATCATCAACATCAATTAATCAATCATTATGCAATGTCACATATAGTGTAATACAACATCATTGACTCATACGTGTGGTACCAAAACTTTACTGATGACCAAGCCATTTTTCTCTAAATATCCCCACCATAGAATTGATTCCCGCTTAGAACCTGAGCAGTTCACAAAAATACACTCAATCCACACCATGGGATTGAGGGCGTCACTAGACTAACGTCCTAACAATCATCACTGGACCAACGTCCTAACATCACTCGGCCAATGCCCTAATATATTCCATGAATGCATGATGTGCAACAACATAATAGAATATGACCACTGCTAGTCAAAACGCGTCATCATTCATATAACCATCATGTAATTATCTTCACGCTACATGTATGCACATCAAACATGCAATTATCAACTCCATTCATCGTAACAGCATCAATTACTTCATAGTACAACATAGCATCATCATAGCAACATCAATTCATCATTTACACATACATCATGATAAATTGTTCACTGAATTGTCCAATTCATCAAAGTATATATACTGGAAAATACATCATATGGTTCATTTTAAGACACACAATTATAGATCATCATGTTAGCTTCCTAACACTTCAAACGAGGCATCAAATGAAGTCCTGAAACTCAAGTTACGACACTTAAAAAAATATTGCCTGCTATCCCTCGCCTGAAGCTCGCCCGGCGAAGCAGCTTACTCGTCTGAGGCTCGCCTGGCGAGGCTGGGGCGAAAATCCTTCCCCATACAAAATTCCAGGAGCTTTGTTTTTCCATCTTCTTTTTGCCTCGCTCTCACCTGGTGAAGTCTGAGCGAAGATGCTTCACCCGACGACTTGGGAAGCTCGCCCGACGAGGGCGCGAAAACAGTAACTCTGCTGTTGCATTTTCTACACAAAACCAGTCTGACTCTCTTGCAGTTCCACGCCATAACAGATCCAAAACTCCCATAATTCATCATGGTTTCACAACATCACAATAACACGTCATAGTAGGCATCATATATATCATTTTATTGCATTACAACATCAATCAATCACCAATTTCATCATCTATTTCAACACAATCATCATGTTATCAAATTCATCATAAAATCCCCCAAACAACCTACATACCTCTAAACCTTATATCAATCATAATAATAAGGATAACCCCTCGTACCTTAGATTATAGCTAGCAGTTGATTCTTCTTCGCGTTTCTACATAATCCCTCTGAGTTTCTCAATGCCCTAGGTCTACTCTCTTTCTCTTCTCCAAACATGATCGTACAGAATGAGCGTTCTAAACCGCAAATTTTCCTTATGTCAAACTTACCACTAGGACCCCTATTATGGTATTCCTATATTACCCCCAATTATCACTTCATCAATTACCACCTTGCCCTTATTATTTTTACACAATATATTATATTATTTCACTAATTAAAATAATTCTAAATAATTACTGTAATTATTTAAAATATAATTAAAACACTCAATATCACTTAATTTCTACTATACCACAAATAGCATTGCATCACACATCATATTCATCAAAACATCACATATACTCATCATAAAACAAGTAAGTAATTAAATAAATAATCTAATTATTTTTGGAGTGTTACATCTGGGGTGCCGCCTCAAGTGCCTACTCAGGTTCCTGAGATGTTTGGGCCTGAGGTGTCGGTTATGTAACCTCTGGTGTCGGATGGGAACCGGATGCCTCTTCTGTCTCAAATACCATGGGTGAGGAAGTACGTCTATGGGAGGAAGGAGGCGGGGAGGGTGAATTGGTGAATCCCTCCTGTTGTGGGAGGACGATGCAGTCGGATTAGAAATAGGAACGTCGGAGGCAGAGGTTTTAGTATGCGTATCCGGCATAGCTTGTCCAGAGGTATAAGGATCCTAGGATACCTGACTCTTTTCCCTCCACACAGAAGCATGATGTGCAAGCTTGTTGTGCCTCAACCTAGATGGTCCCTCACTCATTACTCGTGTAGAAATATAAAACAAACGTTAACATAAGTACTAACGTTCAAAATTAAGGGGAAAATAGGAAAAAACTAAAACTGGAAATGCATTTTCGATTTTCTTCAACGTTAAAACGAAAACCGGAAATACATTTTCAATATGACCTGCAATTTCAGAGCTTCGTCAATGGCGAAGCAGAGCCCCAAATGACCTCCAAAAAATGTCATTGATCATAAAAATGAGACTTCATACATATTTTTAATGATTCCTAATATTGAAAACACAAAACAAAATCACAATTTCTAACCTAAATCACAAATTTGAGTAGAATTACATAAACACTAGAAAACTCAAAAATAACTTATTGTAAGTTTTTTTAATTGAATGTTGTTGAATACTTGAGTTAATTTATGCTTGATGATTCTTGACGAGCTTTTTACAAAGTAGTTTGATTTTTTAACAATGGGGTTTGAGAGGAATGAGTGTTTTTGTGTGTTTTATTTTTGTTTTTTAAAATAAGTTTCTACAAAGGGATGGGAAAAGGCATTGCGCCTTAAAGTCTTAACACGAACCAGAAATATACATCTGATTGTCATCAGAAATATATTCTCGATTAACATGCAAGTTATTTATATAATTTATATCTAACAAGGTGTATACCAAAAATATTTTTTCAACTTTAAAGAGTATTTTTGGAATTTTGGTGAGTTAGAAAACTATAAGATAGAAAAATAAATCCTCTAAAAAAGACCCATGTTGGACCAAAAAGGGGAGGGAGAGACGGCTACCTCTTTTCTCTTTCACGATTAAAAAAAAGGATAGAAGATATTTATCTCTCTCTCACTCAGAAACAAGAAAAAGGAGAGTTGTTTCCTCTCTCACCATCGTTGGACACCTTTTCTTCTCCTCACCACTGCTCACCTTTCCTCTTTCTCTCACTTCCACCTCCATCATCGGTGCATTTCTTTCTCTTCCGGAGTCGCCACCACTCTAACAACCACCGCCAGTTTCCTCGCCTTTTTAACCACGCCATCTCTGAATCCACTTTCCCTTAGCCCTCATTCGCGAGCACCCTATTCTCTCTCTCAATCTGGTTGTTTCCTTCCTCATCTACCACTGAATCTCAAAATCGGTTTCACTCAACAACCACCACTATTAACATACGGCCGCGCCACCCTTCCATCACCACCTCCTTCGATTCCAGATCTAAATTTCCAATATCATCAAATCATTTTGAATCACCAATCACAAAAAGTTTGATTCCAAGCACTACATCATCAACTAACTCAACAAGTATCGAGTTGGGATCCAAAATTTGTCGAAGTCGTTGGTGCAATTGTTTGAGTTTAGTTTCGTTTCTTTGACAAGTTCAATCTGGAATTTCGGCAAAGTGATTTAGATTCAAACCTAGTTTGGATTCGTTTTGCTTTTTGGGTTAATATCTCTACATTTTAATCTGAACTGAATTTGGATTTATTCTGGCCAATATATGTGTTTAATTTTTCATTCGAAATATGGCTTTGTCTATTTGTACTTGATTTTGTTCTGATGAATTTATCTAAATTCTAGGTGTTGTATTGTTTGGATTATTGATTTGTTTAGATTCATGTGTTTCACGTTTATCATATTATCGTTTTGTTTCGTACCACTAAGTTGTGCCGCCGAATGAGGTGGCTTTGTTCGGAATCAGTAAGAGGAAAGTAACCATTTTCTCTTCTAGGTGTGCTTGTTTAAAGTATTAAATTTATAATTCTAGAAATATTATTCTCTGTATTTGATAAGCAATCTGAGTTCTTTGGAATATTTAAAATATATTTTATTTAATTTTTTTTTAATATATAAAAGAATTAAATTAATTTAAAATGGGAGATTATTTGTGGTTATCTCTTATTCCAATGGAAATTTAAGATTTTCACCCATACTCAAGTATAATTTGAGAAAACTTGATACAAATGTTGGAATATGATTTCCAACCTCACATATTTCTGGGAATAAAATTTAAATCTATGAAACAAACACCCCATATGTCTTTTCATTATGCTTTGCATCATCGTGTTACGTTTCGTGCCTTGCGTTACAATTTGTGTGTTATGTGAATTTGCGCTATGTTAACTCAATTTGTGCATTATGCAAACTCGCGTACGTTAACTCAATTTTCACGTTATGCGAGTTCGTGACATTAACATAATTCTCGCATTATGCGAGTTTGCATATGTTAACACAATTCAGGTGTTACGCGAATTTGTGCTATGTTAACTCAATTTGCGTGTTATGTGAGTTCGCGTATGTTAACACAATTTGCATGTTACGCGAATTCACGTGCGTTACACAATTCCCACTATGGGTTTATTTCTTTCTTAAAAAAAGAATATTTTAATTCAATAGAATCGGCTTAAAAATGACAATTAGATGTACATCCATTTGATCTCTGAATAATTGGATCTGAGACGTACGTCTTGTTCCAACTGATTATTTATCTTCTGCTAAAAAAATATACATAATCAAATAAATCAGATTAAACAGGGAAAATTGAGTGTACATTATCTTTTATCCTCGAAAAATTTGAAGCAAGGTGTACACTTTGCTTGAACCGATTATTCTCTTCTGCTAGAACTTTTCGTAATCAAAATTTGGATTAAAAAAGGAAAATTGAATGCATACTCTTTTTATCCTAATATAACCAAAAGCAAATTATACACTTTGCTCGATCCGAGTATCCGTCTTCCGCCAAAAATACCTAATCGAACTCGAACTAAAAAGAGACAAACGGGTGTACATCTGCTTGATTCTCGACTAGTTGAACACGAAGCGCACGCTTCGTTCTAATCAAATACTCGTCTTCTACAAATATTTTTAACAAATAATTGGATTAAAAAAGGAAAATTGGGTGTACACTCTCTTTATCCTCAAGTAATCGAACGCATAATGTACACTTTTTTCTAATCGATTACTTGTTTTTCACCTAAAAACAACTTCAACTCATCGAACCTACTTTTTTCGCCCAAGCGCGTCACCAAACTTTTTCAAACAAGTGATGTTTTCCATTTCGACGCGGCATACACACAAACGCTTTTATCCTCCAAGTGCGAGTAACAAGTGTAAGTTTAAGATTGCGCCTAAGAGGGGGGGTGAATTAGGTGATGGTCGATTTTTGACTTATTTTATACTTTCTGGTTTTGATTTAGTGCTTTGAAAACTGTAAAGTGCAGAAAGTAAAGAGACACGGAGAATTATCCTGGTTCCTTCCACAACCCGGAAGTACGTCCAGTCCCCTTGCAAACACGCAAGAGATTTTACTATATTGTTAGAACTTTTACAAGACTCTTCCTAGTCTTATCCTCTAAAGAACGTAACAAATAACCAAGAACACCCTCTTGGATTTCCAATAAGTCTAATGAGAACAATCCTCTCAAAAGATACCTCTTGTTTCCAATAATGGACAACAAGGAACAAAAGTAATCTAATACTTAATTCCAACAATCCTGGAAATAAGTTACACTTTGTATGTTTTTATGAAGTATGATTTCTTGAAAGATGTTGATCACTTAGAGTGACTTCTTTGAAGTTTCTTCTTTCTTCTCTTGTAAGCAATTCAAACTGTAACACAATGGTTAGATAATGCTCAAAGATTTCTGTTCTTTATATGTGTGAAAGTGCAGAAAATCTTTGTTCTTAAAAGTTAAGAAATATGAAGTTTGAATATTTTACAAAGTTCAGATTTTATTGCAAGAGAAGAGTTATTTATGATTTGAAATATTTTGTAATATATAGTAATCAAGATACCTTTCCAAAAGGACACTTTTCTGTTTGTAAAACTTGACAAGATGCAATGTTTGATCATGCAACCATTGGAGAAAAGGTATGAAGGATATCTTGAAACCATTTCAGATTTTTCAAAATTTTCAATGTGCAAATCGATTAACATAACATGCAAATCGATTGCACGTGTTTGTAACGTTCAGAATTTCAAAAAGTTTGAAGTGTAAATCGATTAGCATGTAGTGTCAATCGATTTACAAGTGTTAAAAAATCAGTTTGTTCTGTGATCAATCGATTTACACAACATGTTAATCGATTGCTGGCAGGAGCAAACAGTTTTTGAAAAAGCATGTGTAAATCGATTTACACAAGATGTTAATCGATTTACAGCAGAGAAAAACTTAAAAATTGTTTTTGAAATATACTTGAAGTGATGTGGCAAGTGTGTATATCATTTTTGAGCATTTCTAATCAATGTAGTTTAATTGAGAATTGATATACTTGATTGCTTGCCAAGTTCCTTGAAGCTTTGAGTGAATGATGCTTTAAGATGATTTCCACTTCTTTTCCTTCTTTCCATAATGCTTGTTTGTCTTTCATCAAACTAGCTTGTTTGTCTTTCATCAAAACTAAAGTTGAGTTGAGGCTTGAGATTACATTCTCCCCCTTTTTGATGATGACAAACCATTTTCCTTTATGTGTTGATCAGAATTTGAGCAAAAGGTGTTTTCTCCCCCTGAGAAGATTTCTCCCCCTATGGAGAAAAAGATTTGAAAGTTTGCTCTGTAAAGACAATGAAAACAAACAACCATAAAGTGCTATTACATCCTTCTCCCCCTTTGACATTATCAAAAAGAAGGGAAAGATGCAACAATAAAGTATACCAGAAAGAAATGTATAGGAACATGAATGAAAAACACAAAACTTTCAAAATTATCGAACAAAGTTTTAAGAACACAATACATAAAATGAACAAAATAAAACAAGACAAAATCCATAATGATACTTATACTAAGAATTTAAGAACATTGATCAAGAACATTTTAGAATGGTCCTTGATAAGGAAATTGTTGTTGAAGAGGTGGTTCGGTGTATTGAGGAGGCGGAGGTGCAGGATTGGTTGGGTCGTATGGAGGGATATGAAGATGTGAATAGAGATATGAAAATTGTTGGTTCACATCATTCTGAAAAGCATCTATCCGAGATGAGGTAGAGTCATTTATCTCCGTCCATCGAGCATTGATGTTAGAATTCAGAGAAGCAAACTGTTGCGTCATGAAATCCATAACATCTTGATTTGTGGGACCAGAAGCAGCAGCAGGAGGAACTTCATGGTCTTCTTCATCTGCATTATGACCTTCATCGCCGACCACATCTTCTCCAATGTAAGTTATGGTTTTTGCTTCAGCATTGAAATGAACACCCATTCTTGAATCAACATTTTTGATGGAGATCCTAGTGGTGTTGGGATCCATTTCAATCCGCTCAAATCCAGTGAAATCTATATCATAAGCTTCCATAATCCTTGTAATGAAATATGCATATGGTAGAAAGGTGGCCCTTGCGGCAACTTTCAGCATATGCATCACAATCAATTTTGCCCAATTGACCGGGATTCCATTTTTCCTTGCATAGATGATTTGAAGCTCTAGGTCGGTCACCGTACAATGATTCCCTGCTCTAGGAAACAAAATATACACCAGAAAATAGTGAAACAACCTATCATCAATATGGAAATTTCCAGCACTCCATGTGTCCCTAGCTGGAGTAACCCCGCCAAGACTGCGAATCCGCTTGGCACGGTATTCAGATTCTGATAACCTTCCAATGCTATAGAAAAATTCTCGCTTCTGATAGTTTTCCCAAGCAGCATCTTCTGGATCATAGAGGGTACTTCCAGAATATGGAATGTTCAAGATTCTGCCAAGAGTTTTGGAATACAGAGGGATTCTTTTTCCAAGGACATATGTATAACATTTGTTGTTGTCATAGCACATGTTGCTGTAGAAAATTTTAACCAGATCCGGGTAATAGAAACCATGTGAAGATATTAATGGTTCTAACCCATAAGCAATGAAATCTCTTTGAAATGAGAAGCATTCATCTGGAAAAGTAGATAACATACCAAACTTTGGAGTAGAGACGATTTTCTTTTGAAAATGCTTGAGAAATCTGTCCCGCTGTGGATCCGTGAGGTACTCGAGCACAGAGTTTTCAGATGATGACGAAGCTGGCTTCTTTCCTTTCTCTGAGGCAGAGGCTTTTCTCTTGGGAGCCATGGATTTTGTTAGGGTTT